TAGCTTGTCGTCGCCGGATGCAGAGCCAGATCGTACGCACAGTATGCCATCTCCGGATGCTTGTCAAGTCGGCATCCAATACGAAGACTCCGCAGCCCGGGACCAAGCTCGGCCAGGAATTTGCCCACCATCTGTGCATCCTCAGCCATAACCCAATGAAACGCCACCGTCTGCAGTGTAGGCGGGATAGGCATCCTGAGAAGCCACGAACAGAATTTCACTGGGTCCGCAAACCGGATAAACTCGACACCAGACAGTTGCAGCTTCGGTGGGTCGGCCATCATGCGATCGATGTGGAATCTGTCGACGAACGACCAGGTAATCAGGTCGACGGAGAAACGCGTGAGGGCTGGCATGGCGACTACAAACTCCTCGAAGTCGATGAATGTTGGAAAGCTACATCCGCGAAAATAGACTTCTTGGACTGTGGAATATGACCTGAGCGTACTGAGAAGTGCCTCGTTCTTCTCAATACAATTCCACTGCACTTTGGCGAACCGCAGGGTCCTGATCCGCGTGAGCTCACCCATGGGAATTGTGGCGATCTTGTGAATCCAGGGCCTGAGTGTTGCGTCCATGTAGTTGGCATGTGCATCGAAGGATAGTTCTTCGACGAGGCTGGCAATGTGAGGGGACTCTTTCAAGAGGTGAATAAAGCGAGACAGCAATGCGGAGCTGGTGATGGTTATGGTGGAGAAGAGGTTTCTGTAGCTGCGGGGTTGCCATGAACGCGCTGTCAACGCACATGCTCGCAGAGTGGTGGGGTCGTCGTGGTTATGATCAATAATCTCGTCGACAATCTCTGGGGGCATTCGAGGCATCAAGCTGACCCTATGCCGTTCTGAGAATCTTTGCGGCGCCATAACCACGCGAGGCTGATAATAGAGGAGACACATCATGAGGGTTCCAAGAATTACGGATGGAGGATACCATCGATTCCCATTTTTATAGGGTATGAACCACTCGCCACAGAGTGACTGCTCTATATAACGATAATGCATACAAATGTGCGTGAGTTGAGCATGTTCGATCAGCATCATGACGACTAACCTCTCAAAGGTGGATATCCATAGTCGCGGTATTGTTACGGTGTGTCGAGGCGGCAATAAGAAAGGCCCAAGGGATCAGCTGAGCCACGTCATCATCGAGGTGAGCGACGCCACAAATAGCTCACTTTACCTACGTGGATATCCATAGCCTGTGTAGGTTGAAAGAAGTGTATTACGTTCTGCTCACAGGAGACTGGCTTTGCCGTGGCCCGTCGCGACTCATGGTTCGTCGGACGCGATGGAGACATCACTGTGTTAGCAGACATGAGAATGAGTATTCAAAATCGAAACTTGACGAGGGCTGGCGAAATCGAGTCGAAGTGAACTACGACATACACATCCCTGTAGTGCTTTTAGCAATAGCTTGCCGCAGTAATGGTTCATATCTCAGAATCTATAGTGTAGCATGAAAACACCGAGTCATTAGTACCATGTACGCACCATGAATCAGCACAAGCACCTCGAAGAACTCCGATCACTTAGATCTCAGCATTTATTCATGAACCTGCCCTGAGGTATCGCAAGTATACGACAATGACTTACATTCGCCAGCTTTGCCTGAGGCGAGCGGATCAACACACGAGCAGCACAAGAGTATGTCTCCGTACCTGCCGCACCTCTGCATCGATTTTGACACGAGAAGAATAGAAATAGCGACGACAGTGTCCCAGGCTCTCAATAAAGTAAAAATCATCCAAATTATCCATATCCCTATGATATCCTGCGCGTTTCCAGCAGCACGATCAAACCAGCACTTCCGCCCCCGCCTCCGCCCCCGATGCTCACAGCAGGTTCTTGAAGCCCGCGTCCTTGCACTTCTTCACGAGGCGCTTCACCTCCTGCGAACGCGCACGCGTCGTGACAAGAAGCGTATCGGGCATGTCAACTATCACCAAGTCGTCGACCCCGAGAAGCGACACCAGCCGTCCCGAGCCAGGGACGACGATGCCCCCGGCCGCCTGCTCCGTCAACACTGTTATCATGCGCACGTCAGTTTTACAGTTCTGCTCACGAGGCGGAGGGCTCCGTACCAAGGGAGCTGTCTCCGAGGATACGAGGTTGGTTGGACTCGGCGGGCAGCAGATCCGCAAGCGACGAGAAGTCTCCGACGTCGTCCCAACCTGTAGGGCAGGCTCAGCATCTATAGCAGGTCCAGATGAGCTGTTCCTAGTACTCACCGAAGGTAGCGGGGACGACGGCAACCCTCCGGTCCAGCGCGGCGGGCTCCGCGACGGCATGATCGATCGCGATCTTCTCCAGGCCCGGCCACACCTCGTCCAGCGTCTTCTGCCGGAGCTTCTCATCGTCCCACGCGAGCGCGATCTTCTGCAGCCCGTCGTGCAAGTCCGGCTTGTACTCCTTGAGCAGCTGCATCAGGAACGTCGCCTTCGTCACGAACATACCCGCGTTCCAGCGGTAGCTGCCGGTCTTGATGTACGCCGCGGCCGTGCGCGCGTCGGGCTTCTCCTTGAAGCTCGACACCAGCCGCGCGTTCGGCGCGTCCGCGAGCGCGAGCTTCTCGCCCAAGCGGACGTACCCGAAGCCCGTCGACGGGTGCGACGGCGCGATGCCAATCGTCACGAGGTAGTCCTTCTTCGCGACCTCGACGGCCTCTGCGACGGCCGACAGGAACGCGTCGTCGCCGGAGATCATGTGGTCGGCGGCGAAGGAGCCGATGACGGCGTCGGGGTCACGCTTGGCGAGCACGGCGGCGGCGAGGCCGATGGCTGCCATCGAGTCCTTCGCGCTCGGCTCGCAGAACAGGTTGTGGTGCAGGAGGTCGGGCAGCTGCTCGGTGATGCTCCTCGCGTGTGCGGGGCCCGCGACGATGGTCGTGCGTACGGCGGAGGACAGGGGGAGGAGACGGTCCCAGGTTGCCTGGATGAGCGAGCGACCCTTGAGAGTCAGGTCGAGCAGGAACTTGGGGTGGTCCTCACGCGAGAGTGGCCATAGGCGCGTCCCGGCGCCACCGGCGGGGATGACGACGTAGAATCCGGGTATCTCGCGCATGCCAAAGGGGAATTGAGTTAGCGCGTTGTCGCTGAGAGGGGAGGGGACGTAGAGGCTGGGGGGAACAGCTAGAGAAGGGATGGCGTTCGGGCTGAGGAACGGAGACTTGGCGCGAAGTTGCGGACTGCCCGGTGCGGGGGTGGTGAAACCAGGGGTGCCGACGCGGGATCCGTTGTTGTACTGGTAGGCACTGAGTGTTAGCACGATGGCGCGTTGGCTAAGGTGCACGCGAGGTATTAAGCAATATAATGAGTTGAACGTCCATTGCGAATGGGACGAACGATTGTGACCAGCCGTCCATTTGCTCCTGTTATGGCAAGGAGAAGGGGGGGATGAAGTACGCAAACAATTACGCGATGAGGTGATATAAGCAGAGACGGGCATCCGTCAGGTGGATACTGAGTATGAACTGCTCGCGGTCACGGAATATGATATACGAGACAATATCCTTCGCAAGCTCATCTAAGGCCAACCAGAGGGATGTCTCGCCATCTGCACTATGCTACATATAAGCGTGCCACGGGGACGCTCCCCCTGAAAGTTTGAGCTGGCAATCACCAAGACTGAAAGTACGCATAATCAAGATGCTTAGATTGGGCGTACTGTCATTCCTTACACAGCCGCGTCTCGCCGCGAGCGTACTGGTAGACGCTGCAGTACGAGCAAGTAGCCGTAATATCACACTTATGCGGCGCAATTGGACCAGGAGGCGACGGTCGGACGGCGCACTTCACCGCACTGGTCGTAATCACGAACCTCGGTGCAATGGTGCTTCCCGCTTGCGATGTCGTCTCCAAAGGGGGGTAGAAGAAGAATGTGTACGCACCGAAATCCCATCCCGCACCATTCGTTCGAGGCTAGCGTTAGCCTGCCTAAGTTCGTGACATTCCGAGCGCAGCTCTGCAATTTCCAGGTGCTATTCACGCCCGCGCATATCCACCCCGTCACGGCATCAATAACGGGGCAACGACCGACACGTCAGAGACACTCACGGACTTGTGCACGGAATCCATGATCTGCTTGAACATGTACTCGATCGGGAGGCCGTTGGCGTTCGCCTGCGCAGCAGGCTTCGTGCTCACAGCTGGCAGCGACATGGCAGCGGATGGGAGTGGACGAAAGAAACAACTCGCGAAGGAGGGACTGCGATGAAAAGGCGGACTGGAAATGCCGCGCTGGGGAGGAGAATGGCCTGGCTGGGCGCACCGCAGCCGCTCATACGCGCCTCGAGCGGCGATTGCCGGCCAGAACACATGCGACCTCACACGTTCAGCCCACAGCTCGCTTCAGTTCCTACTTATTCGTGACTATAAATTACTCTCCGCTGTAACGTATACAATCGCTCCACAAGGGTTTCGTGGACCTGTACCCGTCAAGACACAAATGTCCGAATAACGTCTCGCAGGGAATAGAGCGACCGCGCGAACGCGATGCGGCCGGACTCACCACACGTGAGGTGCAGCGCGCAATGCCACCGCCACGAGAGATCATGCTCCGGTCACCACGGTGCCCCGTAATTTGTAGACAAACCCTAGCGCGAATATCCCTGAATGTCCCGTGGCCCTGCAACACGGGTCATCAAGTGCTCAATGCTCAATGCTCAGCGCTCAATCGTCGTCGTCGCTGCCGAATTCGAGGGCCTGGTACTTGCGTGCCTTCTTCGTGGGGTTCGCGAGCGAGGCACCCCTAGCAGCCGCCGCGACAGGGCCACGGCCGCTCTCTGTCAAACATGCGCGTGTCATGAGTCCTCTGCAGCGCGGCATGTGGCCGGTGGCGAGCACTCACTGGCGATGGAACGCAGTTTGGACGCATCGTTGGACGGCGCTTTCGTCAGCGGGCGGGAAGTCTTCGTTGTTCGCGATGTGGCGCCGTCAGCATCAGCATCAGCTCTTCTCTTCCCTGTCGTGCGGCTGCTGGGCGTTTCAGCGCCCGATGGCGCGCTCTTGGCCTTTGCCAACTCCGTTTGGAGTGCCGTGATTTCTGCCTCTGCCTTGCGCTCAACTTCACTCGTGCTTGGTTTTGAAGGCGGATCCCGAGAACCTGGGCAGAGTCGTTAGTGGCTCTGATATGCTGCAGCATGTGCGTTAAGACCTGAGGGCTTCGAGGGCAAGGTGGCGATAGTGCTGACGGCTGCGAACGGCGACGGGTGCAGGCGGCTGCCCCTGGATTGTGCTTGGATCGCAATCTGCATCTCGTCATGCACGCGTACTCGCGCTGACGAGTGCAGTAGACTTACGTCCGTGAAGACCTTTGTCGCGAATGCCGCCGCTTCCTCTGCGGGCAGCTCGGCCAGGGCGACATGCGCCGGGGCGTCCGTGGTGGTGCCGAGGACGAGCTGTGCCAGCCATCAGTCCGGCCACATGCAGACGCACGCAGAACGCAGCGTTACGTTGACTCCTGCGCCCTTCTGCGAGCTCCAGTTCCCGATGCACATCTCGCCTTTCGCGAAAGCGTCTGCGAGGCGGCCCGCGTATGCCTCTATTGCATCCGAGGATGCCTTCAGCCCCTGCGCGCGTGCAGACAGTCAGTGTCGGCGACATACGCGCACGCAACAACGTACAACGGCACCGCGGATGTCCTTGCTCCCCCATGCACCGCGCCACCACCGGCCGCCAGGGCCACTCAGACCGACGTGGACCGTCCAGTCCGATTCCACGCTGGACAGTACGACGAAACGCGAGGACCCTTGGTAGACCACCTGGATGAGTTCGTCCAGAGGGAGCAGCTGAGTGACCAGGTCTGAATCCGACGCCATCGCGGCGATTTAGATGGGTTGACCGACCCGTCACGGTGTAGCGGGGGAAAACGCGCTGAAGCCGAAGCAGCGTCGGCGAGAGGGGCTTGCGAAGACGGCGTGGACAAAGAGATGATGTGATCGGCGTAGGTCGATCGAGGGTGCCGGCGTCACCACGCTCCTGAGGGCAGCAGGACGCGCACGTAGATATGGTGCGACGGAGGCATCATCGTCGAGAGGCTGAGACACTGGTGGTCGTTGCTTGTGGCTCCCATCTCGTTTCGGATAGTGGCTTGCTGGATTCGGACATGTGTCGATTGATCGCTCTATCTCTCGTGTACGTCATTTCTCTCCTCTCAAGCTGGTCGTAACACCATGAGTACGTCCTGTCTCCTCTGTACATATATAAACTTGGGTCGACGTCCTGGCATCCCATCTTCCCTCTCTCCCTCGAACCGCTACCATCTCTCTCATTCTCGCTCTCTGCGCTGGTACGGACGAGTGACCTGAGTGTCACACGTACATAGTGAGTGCCAGCTGTGTTTCCAGTGACAGTTTCAAGATAACACAAGATAGTCTTAACTTCGAGCTATGAAATTGTGGGGCAGGTCGTAGAGTGAAGCTTTAGGATGCAGCAAGCCACGGAGAAGCAAGTGGCGTGCCTGAGCGCCTACATTTATATGCCGTCGGTATCTTATCTGATAGGGCATCTGGCGACTGCGGCAACTTGACTCGCAGTAGTCAGGACTAATCCGACTGCAACATTCTTTCCCTCAGGATCTGCTCTCCCGACCATCACGTCGCTCCTTGCAGAGTCCGCCCGCCTTGATATCTGTGGCGACACAACAAGCCAGCAATCCACACTACCAATCGTGCCATACACACCGAGAACATGAAGACCCGCGTCATCTTCGTCGGCATTGGGTATACGCATCACATCGTGTGCATTCTGAGACGATGCTGACGCATGTTTTCAAGAGGGGCGACATGCTCAGGCAAGACGACTCTCGCCAAGCACCTGCGCAAAATCCTCCCCGGAAGCGTGATCGTCCATCAAGATGTACGTTCTTCCCCTCCCTGTTCGAAGCACATCCAGATGCACCGGCTGCGTCTCGTGTCTAAGCCAGGCTGACACGGCGCTCCAGGACTTTGCCCCAGTGAGTCGCGCTTGCTCCGCGTATCCCGCAGCGGGCATGCGGGGATGTTGAGAGAGCGCGTGATATTAGCCGCAAGAGTTGATCCCCATGCACCCGGAGTATAACGTGCAAGACTGGGACAGCGCGGAGGGGGCGATCGACTGGCCGAGGATGATCAGGACTCTCAGGGAGGTGCGCGCGTGCGTTTCTCTGGGGCTTCCCGTCCCCGCGTGTCGGACGGCCGCTGAGCGGCGCCGCGGATAGGTGAAGCGCACGGGCATCATACCGCCGGAGCATTACTCGCACGACCACCTGAACGAGCAGAGGGACGTGCCCATCGAGCAGGACACCTTCCGGCGCTGGCACGAGACGTTCACTCGGATACAAGATGAGCGGGAGAAGGAAGGAGAGAAAATCATCTGGGTCCTAGTGGACGGGTTTTTGTTGTTCTGGCACCCGGTAAGTGCGCGCTTCTGCGAATCTGGATTCGATTCATGGGGCGGTGTACAGGAAGTAATAGAGCTGCTCGACGTCCGCATGTTCCTGCGGGTCCCCCACGACGTGCTGAAAAAACGCCGGAACGAGAGGCACGGGTACCACACAGCAGGTAGGTCATTGGTCCATCTGCATCCGCCATGCCGCACCCGCAGTTCCCCAGCGTCTGCATGTTCCTTCGACTGGGTACAATGACGTTTCGGCCGACGCTGACTCTTCTCTCCCCGCATTCGCTGTGCACTCCTAACGCCGCTCTCGCGCCACCGCATGGCTCGACCTACCTTGACGACGCCCCGCTTGTCCTCTGGAGTGCAATCTGATCCAGAGGGCAGCCTGTGGCGGGATCCGCCGCAGTACTGGGAGCAGATTGTGTGGCCGGCGTACGTTGCGGCGCACTCGCGCATGGTGGAGGGCGGGGACGTCGAGCACGGGCAGCCGAACGGAGCTGTGCCGGACCTGATCCTGATCGAGGGGCTGGAGATGAAGGTGGGGGCGATGGTCGAGCGCGTGTGCGCGCGCCTGGAAGAGCAATGAGGGATTAGATTGGATTGTGTGTGTGTTGTGTGTTGTGTATGTGTAGACGATACGTATTAGACTTGGCTGGTGATTTGATGTGCGGAGGGATCGAGACGAGTGCGGGGTCCGTTCAAGTTCCGGTGGGTACCCGGAGGGAGAGCGGCCAGAGCGGAATTCACATGGAAGCGGAAGCCCCTCGTGACGGCGTCAAGCTATAAGAGCCATCACCCTCTCTCACCTCCTGCGTCTCCCCAGACTCTCCCATTTCGCCCTCCTATCCCCCCATAATGGTCCAGGTTATCGTCGTCGGTGGTGGTCTCGCGGGTCTCTCGGCCGCCCACACGCTCCTGGAGCGCGGGGCCAATGTGCTCATGCTCGACAAGCAGCCGTAAGTGGTCATTTCTTACCCTGGGGTGGTCGGGGGGGATGCGTCGTTCGGAGACGGCTCCCCGTTGTATAATGGGCGCACTCTGAGCGCGGAGGCCGTGGGGGGATGCCCTGGTTCGGCCGACATTCGAGCTCGACCCCTCAGTGAGAGCTCAGTGTGTACGTCATGGCTGACCCGCCTTAATGCAGATTCATGGGCGGTAACTCCACCAAGGCCACGTCCGGTATCAACGGCGCGGGCACGCAAACGCAGCAGGAGGCGGGGATCCCTGATAACGCGAAGCTCTTCTTCGAGGACACCAAAGAATCTGTCTGTCGCTCGTCACACTCCCCGCCCCCGCTCGCGCTGACATCGCTGCTGTCTAGGCCCGCGAACTCGCACGCGACGACCTCATCAGGGTGCTGACCGGCCGCTCCGGCGATGCGGTCAACTGGCTCCAGGACAAGTTCGGGCTCGACCTCTCCAAGGTTGCCCGGCTGGGCGGGCACTCGCAGCCCCGCACGCATCGCGGGAACGCGCAGTTCCCGGGAATGGTGCGCACTTTCAGCCTGAGCGTGTTTGCGGATTGATGCCGAAACCGAGGACGGGCCCCCGCAGGTCATCACCTATGCGCAAATGGAGCGTCTCGAGGACCTGGCCCAGGCGCAGCCAGACCGCGTACAGATCAAGAAGAAGGCGCGCGTGACGAAGCTCGTTCGTGACGGCGAGGCCGTCGTCGGCGTCGAGTACGAGCACAGTGGCAAGACCGAGACCGCGTACGGGCCCGTCATCCTCGCCACTGGCGGCTACGCTGCGGACTTCACGTCCGAGTCGCTGCTGAAGAAGTACCGCCCCGAGTACTACGACCTCCCCACGACGAACGGCGAGCACTGTACAGGCGACGGGCACAAGCTCGCGCTCGCGATTGGTGCGAGCGCTGTCGACCTCGAGAAGGTCCAGGTGCACCCCACTGGTCTTGTCGACCCCAAGGAACCGGACGCGAAGGTCAAGTTCTTGGCCGCCGAAGCGTTGCGTGGTGTCGGTGGTCTGCTCTTGGACAACGAGGGCCAGCGCTTCGTCGACGAGCTGCAGCACCGAGATTACGTCACCGGTAAGATGTGGGAGAATGGCAAGGTGAAGCGACTGGTTGGCGTGTTGCTGTTTACGCCCAATGCTGATAGGGGACGACCTCTAGTACCCCATCCGCCTTGTCCTGAACGGTCAAGCATCGAAGGAGATTGAATGGCACTGCAAGCACTACGTTGGCCGTGGGCTCATGAAGCGATACGAGAGCGGCGAGCAGCTTGCCAAGGACATGGGCTTGAAGCCCGAGGCTCTGAAGAAGACCTTCGACACCTACAACGCAGTGGTCAAGTCGAAGAAGGACCCCTTCGGCAAAAAGGCATGCCTCCCCTTCGTTCTGGGCAGATCTATGTGCTGATCTGGCTGTCCTCTGCAGTTCTTCACGACCGGCGAGTGGAAGTTGGACGACATCTTCAACGTCGCGATCATGACGCCCGTGCTGCACTACACCATGGGCGGTCTCGAGATCGACCCCGAGTCGCGCGTGCTGTCCAAGTCTGGAAAGCCCATCCCCGGGCTGTTCGCCTCGGGCGAGCTTGCTGGTGGTGTGCACGGCGCGAACCGTCTCGGTGGCAGCTCGCTGCTGGGCTGTGTGGTGTTCGGGCGTGTCAGCGGTGACTCTGCAGCGTCATATCTGCTGCAGACGATCGGCCCCTTGGCTGAGAAGGCCGCAGGGCGGTTGGGTGCTGTCGCCGGCCACCTCGGTGGCGAGTCAAGTTCGCAGGTGCGTTCGTCCGTCTGTCCATTTGGGTTGCTGTTCCCGCTGACGGTCCGTGCCAGCCTGCGGCAGTAGCGGCGACGGAGGCGAAGGCAGAGTCGACGTCGTCAGGGTCGGGCAAGTTGTTCAGCGAGGCGGAGGTCGCGAAGCACAACAAGAAGGACGACGTGTGGGTCATCATCGACAACCAGGTGCTCGACGTGACGTCGTTCCTGCCCGACCACCCGGGAGGCGAGAAGGCGATCCTGCTGTACGCGGGCCGCGACGCGACGGAGGAGTTCAACATGCTCCACGACCCGAAGGTTCGTACCCCCTCCCCTCCACTCCCCTCCCCTCCCCTCCACTTGTGGTTGTACATACATGTGCTGTGCGAGATAGCTGACGGGTGGTGCTCGCTGTGCAGGTCATCCCAAGATATGCGGCCGACTCGGTTATTGGCAACCTCAAGAAGTAGACCCGCTGTCTGCCTCTTGTCCGCGCTGTGTAGCTAGCTATTGCGCCTGAGCGAAATCCACAATGACCGCGCAAGCTCGACCTTCTTGTCCTGACAGTACAGTCACTTTCACTGCATCATTATATGTATTTGGTTGGTCTTCGCATATTGTTTTGTGGAATGTATAGTAGCGTTCCAGCCCCTTATCCGTGTGACTGGTGCGACGGTTAAGCGCCGGACTGCTGGATATCCAGATATCAAGCGTTAATATTCAGGGACGTTGGATATCTCGATATCCGGGAGCGCCAGGATGAATGGCCCCAGTGGTCGATCCATTGCTTCCTTTGACCACGCGGTGAGTCGTCAAAGCCCCGTTCTGTCCAATACTCAATGGCACCGGCCGGAACGACACAGCCTCAAAGGCGCTGCACTTATCATTTGCTGTGGTTCAACCTTATCAACTTCGCAGATCTTGACATGGATGGAATCTCACGTATATGATCTTTCTCTCGGGAGGTGCAGTATCATTCATCGTCACCTGCGTTACGCCGGCCGTGCACCGGTCTGAAGTAAGGGCATTCCTCACATGCCGCTCCTGAGTGAAGTGTTGCTTCTCGCCTGGATTGTAGCTGCGGGGCACTATAGCTCTGCTAGCAATGTGGCAGGACTGCATTGTGTGGAGGCGAGTGCTAGAACCTCTTGTATGTTTAGCCACTATCCATGCGTCCAGTGCGTCTGCATCATGCTCAGCGGCCTCTTAGCCAAATTTGCGTTGCCGTATCTGTGGCCAATGCTATAGCCCTTGCACAGCTGCGTGAGATTATTATCGGGCAAAGCTCCTCCTCAAAAGTATGTCATTGGACGATTCTCATCCACAGTAAAGCATTCACCGCGCGCTCCCGCCATCTCGCATTCTCACTTACTACAAGTTGTCAGACATGGTGGGACAAGGGTACCACCCACGAATCATTACGCGTTAGTGTGCAGTTGTTCTTTTGTAACTCTGCTCACACTTGATTTCCAGATCGATACACCGCAGGCTGCCTCCAGGGCCAAGGACAGCATGTGGCCAGGCGGATGCCTCACATGCCCTTAGAGATCATTGACGAGATCATTGATCATAACCACGACGATCCCGCCACTCTGCGAGCGTGCGCTTTGACGGCGCGTTCGTGGCAACCCCGCAGCTACAGAAACCTCTTCTCCACCATAACCGTCACCAGCTCTGCATCACTGTCTCGCTTCATACACTTCTTGAATGGCTCCCCTCACATCGCCAGCTTCGTCGAAGAATTATGCTTCGATGCACACGCCAACTACAGGGACGCGACGCTCAAGCCCTGGATTCACGAGCTCGCCACAATTCCCATGGGTGAGCTCACGCGGATCAGGAGTCTGCGGTTCTCCAAAGTGCAGTGGTCTTGTATAGAGAAGAACGAGGCACTTCTCAGTACGCTCAGGTCATATTCCACAGTCCAAGAAGTCTATTTTCGCGGATGTAGCTTTCCAACATTCATCGACTTCGAGGAGTTTGTAGTCGCCATGCCAGCCCTCACGCGTTTCTCCGTCGACCTGATTACCTGGTCGTTCGTCGACAGATTCCACATCGATCGCATGATGGCCGACCCACCGAAGCTGCAACTGTCTGGTGTCGAGTTTATCCGGTTTGCGGACCCAGTGAAATTCTGTTCGTGGCTTCTCAGGATGCCTATCCCGCCTACACTGCAGACGGTGGCGTTTCATTGGGTTATGGCTGAGGATGCACAGATGGTGGGCAAATTCCTGGCCGAGCTTGGTCCCGGGCTGCGGAGTCTTCGTATTGGATGCCGACTTGACAAGCATCCGGAGATGGCATACTGTGCGTACGATCTGGCTCTGCATCCGGCGACGACAAGCTAACTGGATAATATCTCA